AAAAAAAAAAACCCTGCACGCTTGATATGGAAAAGGTTATTGCTCTAGTTGAGAATCTAATTACAGTATATATATGGGTTGCAGGTTCCGTCTTATGTCATGCTTGGAATTCCAAAGCATGAGGAAGCCCCTTCAACCCCACCGCGGCCCCTTTCACCTATGGGAGAGGCCTGTTCCCGGATGGACCTCACAGCAATTCATCAAATCTTGGTTATGACCCACTACAGAGATGATGAAGGAACCAATGAGGTAACTACCGCAACAAGGTCTTGTATTATTGCATATGCCATATGCCTTTCGCACAATCTAGCTTGGAAATCGGTATATATTCACATGAAATTGTTGATGGATTCAGTTGTCGTTCCAAGAGTGGACTCAGCAAATGAGAGACATGCTCGATGCAAGAAAAAGAGGGGACTATGCATTCAAGGACAAAGATTTTAAAACTGCCATTGACTGTTATTCCCAGGTACAAATCTAAATTTCACGATTGAATTGTAAAATCTAACACATGCACGTGAATTCCTCATGGTAAAGAGAGAAGCTTGAACCAAGATTAGAACTTGGATTACGATGTGATCTTTTTTGTCTTTGCGCAGTTCATAAATGTAGGAACAATGGTCTCTCCAACTGTTTTTGCTAGGCGCAGTTTGTGCTATTTGTTATGCGATCAACCCGATCCCGCTCTTCGAGATGCGATGCAAGCGCAGTGTGTTTACCCGGATTGGCCTACGGCGTTTTACATGCAGTCGGTAGCTCTTGCAAAGTTGGACATGCACAAGGATGCGGCTGACATGTTGAATGAGGCAGCCTCATTAGAAGAGAAGAGGCAACGAGGTGGGAGGGGATAGGGAGAAATGAGAATCAAACCTAACAGAAACCCGTTCAACACTACTAATAATGTTGTTGAGGCTGACCTAAATTTGTATAAAATCCGAGCTGTGAATCAAAATTGCTTTCTCAATTGAATTGTCTATATAACTTATATATAAAAGGAAGCCGTCCTGTTCATCATAAAAAATTCAGCCATTTTCAATTTTTTTAGGAGTATTTTCATCCATTTCATTCTTTCATTCTTTTTGAACAAAAGTTTTCATCTTCACACTATAAACCATTCCCTTTTCACTATAATTTGGACATAGTATTTTCATTTTGTAAATTAGGGTGGTGCCTTGAAACAATAAGACAGAACAATAATGTGGATTGATGCCTTGTTTGGAATTAATTCTGTTTTTATTTTTCACGTTTTTTGAGAGAGAAAAAATGAAAACGTTTTCAAAACGACGTTTGACGCAATAAAGACAAAAAACAGAAATGAAAATGAAATTTTGGTTTAGTGTAAAATAATAGAGAAATGAAAAATGATTTTTAGTCATTTTTTATTTTTTGTTTTCGTTTTTTCTTCTCTCGAGTAGAGAGAGAGAGAAAGAGAGATATTAATAGGTTTTTTTACACTAAAAATAATATCTTAATAAAATTACTAAATACATTTTTAAAAATGATTTATGTCTGAGATTAAAAACGTTTTCATTTTTAAACGCGTCCAAATTTTTGCTCCCTTATTTTTTACATCCTAGACATGGTTTTGAAGACCAATTAGCTTACTTTTCGGCAAATTACGTTTGATACTTGCATTCCAAGTTCCAATACAAAAAGAAAAGTAAAAGAAATTTTGCAAAATTGTCTTGGGTGTTGATATCTTGAAAAGTGATTGCAAAATTGTCTTGGGTGTTGATATCTTGAAAAGTGATTGCAAAATTCCTGTAACATGGCCGATCCTTGATTATGTCGTTTCTGTTATGCAAGATGCCAATTTTGTGCTGTGTGGTTTTCTCTCTGGGCAGGGTAATTGTGTTGTTCATATATTGGCTAGATATGCCGTAATGCTTGTGATGCGTTCTCGAAGGATTCAATTCCTATATGCACTGCTTCCGAAGTTTGTAAAGATTGCAATTTGAGTACCTCATAATTTTTACCAGGTTGAACGGGTTGGTCCGAAGCCTGGCTCTTAGACCTAGCCCTGCACATTCCAAAGATCCGAAAACTTATGATTAGATTATGTTTTTGATGTTTTATTTGTTCTTATAAAAAAATTGCAGGCCGGCCATATATTCATAGGCAATCTTGACAAATACTCCTTGAAAGATTTTTACATTTTACTCTTGATTCATAATTTTTTTAGTCAAATAATTACACCAATAAAAAGGTATTTATCAAGAGTAAAGAGACTCGTGTACTCTCAAGAATAAATTCTCTATTTTTTCTATATTCTCATTGGGCGGAGATGGCCAAACCTAAAAAAGAAAGTGCCAGGGTCGGCCCCAAGCTAATTTCATGTTTTGGTTCAGGCTAATGGCCTAAATTGATAGGTCTATTTCTAAAGGACCGGTCCTATATATAACATAAAAAACTAATGATATATATTTTATGTAATAATGATATTAAAAAGTGTAACAAAAATATTACTTATAAGGAAACAAAATATGTGTGAGTACGCATATATATATTTAATTAAGCGAAAAACTCAACCTATGAGCAGTTTCCATCCACCAATTTACATATATATACTCAACCCCAAATCCGAAAATGGTTTTGACTTTAGACCTGATGTCTGTCTCTCTTTG